CGCCGGGTCTCAGCGCGTCTATCGTAGATGTCGCCGCGTTGAACTCCGCACAGTCCTAAATATTATTACTACGTAATATCGACTAATCCAATTATATTACTAACGAGCTATTTGTAAACTTCGGTAGCACGGATTCAAAAAAAGGTGGCCTATAATATTCCCGCCAGCATTAGCTACCTTCCAAAGTCCCGTAACTGGTCTACTCGTTCCAGATATAGCGATCCGGTTGTCATTTTGACGCGAAATTAAAAAAATAGCCTGTATTATGCCCGTCTATGTTAGCTCCCTCCAATGAAATTCCCGTCAAAATAGGCAAAGCCATTTCGGAGATTACCCTGAGCAAACGATGCTTGCGAACAGACAATTTGTTTAAATGCAAATTTTCTACTTAAAAAAAAATAAGATGCAAAAAAACACAACAAACACATCACCAAGCGTATATTGTCAACATTAAAAAAATACACTTAAAAAATAAATAAATTTAATTTCATAAAAATATTTAAGATAAAGCAATATTCGACTAAACTTAATCTAAACAAATACAATACTAAAGCTAAAAAAATACATTCTAAGTTAAAAAATCGATTTTCCTTCTAAGTTATTAAGTAACGTAGTTAAAATCGCACCAACTCTAAATTCATTAAATCATAAAAATTATGTAAAAATAAAATTATAACTCTACATTATTTATTTAACGATATAAATTAAACAAAATTTTATTTACATTTATTTTATAGCAAATCGAGACTAAAAGGTCTTAAGTACCAAGATTATTTACTAAAAAAAAATAAAGAAAAAGGGTTGAGCAAGTAAGCATAATTTAAAAAAATAGCATTTTCAAATCGTACAGTAGAAATCGGTTAATATGACATATCATTTACTGCGACTTGGACTGTAAATCCCAATTTAATAAAAAAAAAAATATTTTGACTGATTTTTTTCGTGTATATAAGATTTATCTGTATTTGTAAATATATTTTAATGCACCAATATTTATATTTAAATTCAATAAAAATGAGAAATTATAACTTACCTATATAAACAATTTTACCTTTAAAAGACCGTACACAAACTTTAAAAAAAACACAATGTGTCAATATAAACCACAGACCTCTATTAATGGACAGGTTATAAACTGTGATTTTTTTGTCTATTCGTTTTTCGTTATTTTTGGCGCTAATGGAAGCTGTGAAGAGATTCTATTCTATTTAATGTTTACTAGCTTTTCCCCGGGACTCCGTCCGCGTGGAATTAAAAAAACAAAAGTGAGTAGTCTATATTCTTCCAGACTATCCTCTACATCTCTACCACATTTGATCGAAATCCGTTTAGCCTTTTAGGCTACAAACTCTAACAAACATCCATCCATCTAAACTTTCGCATTTATAATATTAGTATGATAGCTCTCCCTCAGCGGATTGGGCCAGTGTCGAGTGATTGTGGTTGTTTTCTAATTTGGGATATTGTCAACAATACTCTGCTTATGCTGTTCGAGGGTGTACAAGCAATCGAAGGACGTGTCCCACCACTGGCTGATAGAGGCTCAGATAGCTAACGTCACTGGAGATTAGGGAACAAATCGGATATTTCCGAAACATAATTTACTCGTTGGATTGTTATCAGACAATTTACAATTTGGTGGGACAGACCCTAAAGATAGTAAGATTGTCTCTTGAATTATATAGAAAAGTTTAACAGTTTTCATACTAACAATAGTGACACTGTCATTAACATCAAAAATCGCGTTTAATCCTATTTATTTATCTTCTTTTTTATTTTACTTTATACTTTTACTTTATTTATTTATCTACTTTCGCCCGCGACCCCGTTCTCGTAAGATTAAAACATAATATAAAACATATCTTATATTACTCAATGATAATGTAGCTTTTTAGTGGTTCAAGGAATGTTCGAAATGAGCTCTGTAGTTTTCGAGTTAGTTAATTACAACCAAACAAAGTTTTCCTCTTTATAATATTAGTGTTGTGGATTTAAAAGGTTTAATTATAACAAACGAGCTGTTGCCCTCGACTTCGTACGCGTGGTATTAGAAAACATACAAACTATATGAATTACAAAATCCCTCGGGAACCGGACATTTCTCGGGGATGAAGCTTATCCCATGGGTACTCCAGACTTTGTTTTATATCTGTGCCATATTTTAATAAGATATGTTGAACCGTTGCAGAATGATCGAGTAAACATTAAAAAACTTAATTAATGAATCCCACGGGAACCATAACTATTCCCGGGATAAAAAGTAGTCTATGTGTTCTTCCAGACTAAACCTGTGGCAAAGTTCATGGAGATCCGTTCAGCAGTTTAGGCTACAAACGCTAACAAACATCCATCCATCCATCTATCCATCCATCCATCCATCTAAACTTTCGCATTTATAATATTAGTAAGAAGTAAGATATATACTGGCTGTAATATATAAGTGTATATATATGTCAAAATGTAAAGGCAACTGTCACTTTAGAAAAATGGTGTATCTAAAAAGAACGGAAAGAATATCAATGACGAAGAAATAAATATAAAGAAACTCTTTAAATGTTTACAACAATTAGTATAAATGATTTATACACAGAAATTAATCTAAATAAATCAAAAGACAAACATTGTTAATATAATTCCTCATTTCCATTGAATTCGATTAAATATCTAATTTAAAATATCAGTTAACAAATAATACTAAAATACCAGTCTTAACATACAGAAAATATAATTCGGGACACGAAAGTGAAAATATAACTTTAAAAATGCACCAAATAATTGTATAGAAAATGTTACCAACAAATTATAATCAAAAGTACAGTCAGCTGTATAAACTTGTCAACATTTACAAAACTTTACAAACTTGCATTAAAACTTCAGTTTCAAACTATAACGCAATTATACATCAATAACATGTATTCAGTTAAAAGCAGACAGACACACGGACAAATATTAAAACCATATACAAGTTTTAATAGCTAAGTTAATGTACATATTTATGGCTGACTGTACTTATTTTTGTTCAACTTTCATGTCTCGAACTATACCAATATAAGTTATACAAACATCTATAAATTCATGCAAACAAATTCACACAACTTGAGTCGTCTGAAAACAATTTCCATTTTCTTTAATACATTTTAAAAAAAACTTTAGAAATACATAATAGATTGAGAATGTACAGTTATTTCCTCTTCCTATACATTCCCTCCCCTACCTTCCATTTCGCTCCCTCATACTTTTATTAGCAAAGGTTGAATAGAAGGTAATTTTCAAACGACTCAAACAAAATGCAAGCAGACAAAATGAACAAAATCAGTTAAGAGCAAGCGTACACCTTTGACTAAACTATCGCACAAATGTTTTGTCTCGCTTTGTATATGAGCTTATATGAACGCACACTATTCGATTTTTAGTTGTGCAACTAAACAGTTGAGGCTACGAAACAATCGACAATCAGACAACAGTTGTGCGATAGTTTAGTCAAATGATTGCGCCCGCTCTAATATGTACAAACACACAAAGCATTTATCGTTTATTTTAAATAAATTAACTTTACTACTAATAAAATAGTTTAAATTCCTATTTGCATTGTTTTATTTGAATAACAACCTCTATTAGAAATATTCTCATTTTGGTATTGAAAAATTATTTTATATTAAAAGAGATTCGATATGTTCAGTGGTTTTTTTTAAATCATACTAAGAAAGTTATGTTTGTTAGAATTTGTAGCCTAAACTGTTGAACGGATCTTGATGAAATTTGTCATAGATGTAAAGCAATCTGGAAGTGCACATAGACTAAATATTTTTTTTTAATTTTACACGGACAGTCGCGGGCATAAGCTAGTAAATAAATAAAATGTTATCTTCGTCTTCTTAAGTAACTAACTTAACTGATTTACGCCCAAAAATGTATTCATAATTGTTAAGTTAAATACGGCATTTAACTCTTACCTATGGTTGATATGTACATCAAAATGATTATATTTTACCATATGCTTGTGGTAAAAAAATATATATTTATGAACTAAATTTCGCACGCTTTCGTCCTCATATAATTAAAGAACTAATATGTTCTTCCAGACTATCTATGTCTATGACCATCATCTAGATCCGTTCAATAGTTTAGGTTACAAACTCTAACATCCATCTAAACTTTCGCATTTATTACATTAGTAAGATTGGTTAGGCATAATGATCAAATAACAAGATTTTTCTAAAATCCTCTTCGCTAGAGTATAATAGTACTAAACTGTATTTAAGCTATTTAAAACCTTCATGCATCTATACTATTATAATAAAGCGTAAACACACTTCTTTGTTGCCTAAGATGTCAGCAATTACAGCACATTTTTGAATAATTTCCTTTTTAATAAAAAGCCCTACACTTACGTCACGCTTTAGGCTATATATTTTAACGTCATTATACTTAGGGCGTAAATATTTCGTATAAAAACCCTAATGTGGGAAAGAGACCGTAAGTTGCTGCCAACATCAAGGATTATCAAGGTTTGTCATGTCATGACATTTGCTATTGATAATTTGACAAATGTCAATAATAAAATATTTTTTTTATAATTTCATGCGGATTGCATGGGAACAGCTAGTTCTTATATAAATTTTCACGCCTAGTTTGACAGCCTTACAAATAAACGCGGTATAAAGTTAAACTTAGGAATGTACTAAATTTGTACTTTTTTTTTGACCGATTTGTCATTGTTTGCCTTGAAGAGGCATTTACAGATACCGGGCTTGAGGTGGGCGAACGCAAGGCGCTTTGCCTAAACCTCGTTTATGAGTAACTAAGCTCGAGGGCTCCCTCAGGCGCCGTTACTTCGTTATTATTACCCGATTGGGTATTATTGCTTATACTCAGTTTATTCCTAACTTTATACCGCATTTCTTTGTTAGACTGTAAATGATTTATCGTCTATCTGCCATAAAATGAAATGAGAATAAACGTGCAATGACAGCTATAAAAAAAAAACTAAAATAATACAAAGCAAATAAACCAAAATGAGAATAAACCATAAATGTATCAAAAGCAGTATTTCATCTATACTATTATAATAAAGCGTAAACACACACTTCTTTGTTGCCTAAGATGTCAGCAATTACAGCATATATTTGAATAATTCTTTTTTTTAATAAAAATCCCTACACTCACTTCACGCTTAAGACTATATATTTTAACGCCATTAAACTTAGGGGATAAATATTTAGGATATAGACCCTAATGTGGGAAAGAGACCATTAGTTGCTGCCAACATCAAGGAAGCAAGGTTGCCGAGTGTTCGATTCATGTCATGTGAATTTGACAAACGTAAACAATAAAATCATTTTTTCATAATTTCATGCGGATTAAGCCGCACGGGAACAGCTAGTATTAATGTAAAATTTGATCACTGATATTTATGAAGTTACTAGCTTTCGCCCGCGATTCCGTTCGTGTAGAATCAAAAAAAGTAAGTAGCCTATGTGTTCTTCTAAACTGTTCTTTACATATATGCCAAATTTCATCGAGATCCGTTCAGTCATTTAGGCTACAAACTCTAACAAACATCCATCTAAACTTTCACATCTGAACAGCTGAAGAGATCTCGATGAAATTCGGCATAGACGTAGAGGATAGTCTGCAAAATCACATAGGCTACTCACTTTTGTTTTATTTAACTCCACGCGGACGGAGTCGCGGGCGAAAACTAGTTTATAATATTAGAATGATTAGATTCTGTTTTTAAATATACTAGTGGAAGCATGAATCTAGTAATGACGTGTTAAGTATAATACACAACAAACTTTACATCAAATAAACTAAAAAAACATGAGTATTTTTACATAACTAATGTAAAAAAATACGTAAAATTCATCGCACAAATAAATATATAAATATTATTTAATGACAATTTAATGGACACCTATTTGCCATTAATTAAAGTATTCAAAAGCGTTAAAAAATGAATTGTCTACTTATGCCTAGTCTATATTTTTTAACTCTCTTTGTTTATATTAGTACAGATACGAGAGTATATTCGTATCAACCATGAAATACCGCTTTTGATTCACAAAACACAAAAGTAAAGGAAACTAACTGTAGGTTTCCACTGCCGTTACATTAACACATATCTCTTAAATAAAAGTACATCAAAACGAGTAAAAGCAGTGAAAACCGAAGATTCCCGTAATTTATAGACAGTTCCGGGCAAACAAAATTAAGCATGCGGTGATTTTCTTGCGCGTCTCTGAAAAACAAACAATAAATATTACAGTGAAATCCCCGTGCAATGCATACAACTATACTGTGTTCAGTTTAAAAACAAACACGCAAAGCTTTAATTAAAAAAAATAACTAATCATTTAAAAGTACAATCAGGTAATCTGTCAGTGTCCCATTTTTAAACGGTAGTCGTTTTACGTTTTCTACTTATGGAAACGTCGCGGAACAATCTATATTAATATTATAAAGCGTAAACACACATTAGTTAGTTATGTAGGACTAGCTATTGCCTGCGACTTCGGCCACGCAGCATTAAGATAAAAGGTAGCATGTAATATGCGGGTCTATGTCAGCTGCCCTTTAGTGAAAGTCCAGTCGAGATCGACCCAGCCGTTTCGGAGATTGCCCGGAACAAACGCGGCTTGCGGACAGACAGACAGACATACAAATACATAATCATCCCAAAATCTAAAAATTTTCTTTAGATATCACAGACACTCCAATTTTATTATATGTATAGATTTAAATACTACCACAACATATTACACAAAAAATTAGTTAACAATTTTAAATCTTACATATATGAAAATACTGGTGTACATAATTTTTTCTAGTATTTATTTATTTAAGGCTATTGCTATTTGTTCCGCGTCTTTAAATTTTTACAAAACGTTCAAACAACTATATATTAAAAGTTGTAACACTGACATATTCCCTGATTGTACTTTTAACCTTTTGATATGGGAGAAAATTTTATTTACGCAATTACATGTACCCAGTGTAATTATTTGTAACTAATATTAACCACACTTATAGAAAAATCCCAACATTTACATAAAAATTTAAATCTACATAATTTAAACAGACACAGTAAGTTTTAACAAGATGGTATTAACACACATATAAATGCCAGTACAAAAACAACAAAAAAACATGCTACACAATCAAAAATGCAAAGCATGCTAACACAAACAGCTGTTAAACCCAATAAGCCAAGAAACTCATATATATTAATAAAAAAATACATTTCTCAGACTTATTCTTTTGTGAAAAGACAAATACCTTAATTCTTCGTCATTTAATTCTCACAAAAAGTTCTTGAAATTCACTTTTTTGTATAACGGTAAAAAAAACTATTTGCGCCAAAAGATGGCGTTCTCATCAAATTACATTCAATATATAGATGGCGCTACTATCATTTAAAGAAATCTATACGAATTTCTTTACGATTATTATTTAAAACATTTGTATTCATAAAAATAAACTGATAATTTCAAAATCTAAACATTTGACTTCTATAAGATTTATTTTCATAACTAGCCTTCGCTCGCGACACCGTCCGTGTGGAATTTAAATAAAAAAAGTGAGTAGCCTATTTTCCAGATTATCCTCTACATGTATGACAGTTTAGGCTACAAACTAACAAACATCCATCCATCTAAACTTTCGCATATTTATTAGTAAGATTTCTTTATCAGGAAAAAAACTAGTCCATACTAGCTTAGGATTTAGCAATAATTGCTTAATTTTTTATAGATTATAGTAATCACAATTAACCCTTAAATGCAGGATATATTCTTTTTAAATACCTTAAATTGAAGGACGGAAATGGAAAAAATAAAGAAAAAAAAAATTTAAAATATCCATTGCGTAAGGAAGAAAATACTGATTTATAAATGCATTTAAGAGTTAAAACTATTAGAAATATGAAAAATAAATATTTATTTACCTCTGGATCATCAATATCATCTGTCAGTCCATTAAATGTGTTCCGCGAAGACCAGCCATTAGCACCACTAGATATTGTCACGTCAGAACCTGAAAAATAACAAAAAGATCATGTACAAAAAATACTAAAAAGGTGCAATAATGTGTTTTTTTTTATAACATAAGATGGCAAACGAGCAAGCGGCCACCTGAATCCACCGAAATGGAAAGCGACCGCTGCTCATAGACATCCACAATTGCAGATGCGCTGTCTACCCTTCATTGACGGAGGAGGCGCACATAAAGAGGACGTTTCCTCTTCCTATACGTCTTCACCGTCAAATCCACTTTTCCTTCCCATCCTTTCCTCTTAAGAAAAGGAAAGGGAAAGGGAAAGGGACTAAAATTAGACCTCCAGCACCACACTCATCAGACTTTACGCGGAATTGCTTCCACTTCACGTGTGTTTTCTGTGTTGTCGTGGTATTACACCGGGCGAACCGGCCTATACGTTCGAAGATGTTAAAACGGGCTCTACCACTCTACAATGATTTTAATTGCATTTTTGAAATCTAATCTACATTGTATTTTAAACTACTTTTCGCCCGCGAATTCTTCTGCGTGGTATTAAAAAAACAAAAGTAATTAGCCTATGTGTTTTCCAGACTATCCTTTACATCTGTACAAAATTTTATCGAGAGAGAGAGAAAGAGAGAAACATGCATCCGTCAACGGAATAAATAGTATTCTATGTCCGTCTTCTGGTTTTAAGTTACCTCCTCAACAATTTTCAGCCATATTAAACACTTTGCTTTCTTAATGTTGGCAGCTTGTAGTTTGTCCCTTTCCCACGTGAAGGTTTTTTACAATTTATTTGCCCCCTAAGTTTAATAGCGTGAAAATATATAGCCTAAAGCGAGACGTAAGTGTAGGGCTTTTTATTAAAAAAATAATTATACAAAAATATGCTGTAATTGCTGACATCTTAGGCAACAAAGAAGTGTGTGTTTACGCTTTATTATAATAGTGTAGAATTATTTTCTTTTTAAAGTTATTTTGTCTCCCTCTGGCTGACTTTTATATATAAATATAAAATATTTATATAAAAAATATATATTGGTATAGTATATTATTATTATTTATTTAACTTACTGGATCCATTACATCCTGATGAGCCCGAGGACCCCGAGGAGTTGGAAGACACTGGTTTCACTGGAGTTTTTACTATCGCACCTCTGAAACAGAAATACTTTTTATTATTGACTAGCTGTTGCACGCGACTTCGTACACGTAAGATTTAAAAATATAGCCTGTGTTACTGAAAAAAAGCTTTTTAATAAAGAATTGAAATTGGCCCAATAGTTTTTGAGTTATTTCAATACATACATAAATAGTAAAAAAATCCTCTTTATTATTTTAGTAAAATAAATAAAAGCAGGTAAATAGTAAAAGACATGGAATCTTACTTATTTTGGCACACTTTTTTAACTACGCTGTGTTTTTTAAGTTTTTACTTTAATTCGAAATGAAAACTTCCTAATTTTTGAAGTCAATTAAAATACTATTTCAATAATTGTGTTTGTTTTTATTTATGTAGTACTAGTTGCACATGACTTCGTTCACGTTAAATTAAAAATATAGCCTATGTTACTGAGCAATAACGTAACTTTGTAATAGTAAAAGAAATTTTGAAAGTGGTCTAGTAGTTATTGAGTTATTTCAGTACATACAAAAATACAAATCTTTCCTCTTTATATTAGTACTAGCTTTCTTTCGCGACTCCGTCTACGTAGGATTAAAAAAAGCAAAACGAGTAGCCTATGTGTTCTTCCAGACTATACTCTACAACTGCACCGATTCTCATGGAAATCCGTTCAGCAGTTTAAGCAACAAACTCTAACAAACATCCATCCATCTAAACTTTCGCATTTATAATATTAGTATGATAGATTTGTTAAGTTACATGGGGACAGATATTTCTAGTTGTATAGTTTTATTTACAAACTAGCTGTTCCAGTGCGGCTTCATCCGCATGTAATTGTGAGAATTTTTACATGTGTCAAATTATCAATAGCAAATGACAGACATGATATGATGACAAAGCATGACAACCTTGCTTTCTTGATGTTGGCAGCAACTTATGGTCTCTTTCCCACATTAGGGTTTTAATCCAAAATATTTACCATCAAGTTTAATGGCGTGAAAATATATAGCCTAAAGCGTGACGTAAGACTAAAGCTTTTCATAAAAAGAAGAATTATTTAAAAATATGCTGTAATTGCTGACATCTTTGGCAACAAAGAAGTGTGTGTTTACGCTTTATTGTAATAGTATAGATTGCGTTTGATTTGATTTGTGTATATACTTACTTAGCTTCGGAAGTAGTATTTGGAGGTCTGGGCGGCACGAAGGCGTCGACAACCACTTGCTCTGTCCCCTTTATCTCCGCGCGACAGAACGGACAACCTTGGCCTTCGGAATCCTAGAAAAACAAGGAAATTAAAAAAAGTAGCCTATGATTTTTTAACACTGCTTTACATCTATGGAAAATTTCAATCGAAATCCGTTTACACTTTCATATTAGGTTTTGTCCGCAAATCCGTCGGTGCGGAAATAAAAAAAAAAACTGAATTAGTATCCATGTGTTCTTCCAGATTGTTCTCTACATCTATACCAAATTTCCTAAAAATCTGTTCCGGTTAGAAGATACCTTCAACCAAATATCCATCCATCTTAACTATCGCATTAACATTTGTCCACGACTCCAATCACAATTTTAAAAAAAGTTACCTATCCATTCTTTCAGATTTTGCTCTATTTATGTCAAACTAGCTTCCGCCGGCAATTCCGTCCTCGTTAAAATAAAAAAGAAACAAAAAGTGAGTACACAAATAATACAGATTAATAAATATCTTACTAATATTATAAACTAGCATTCTCCCGCGACTCCGTCCGCGTGGAACTAAAAACAACAAAACTGAGTAACCTACATCTATGACATATTTCGCAATTTTAATATTAGTAAAATTACAAGAGCCATTCAGTAGTTAAGTAACTCTAACAAACGTAAATACATCAACACTTACATCATACTAATATTACAAATGCGAAAGCTTAGATGGATGTTTGTTAGAGTTTGTAGCCTAAACGGCTCAACGGATTTAGATAAAACTTGGTATAGATGTAGAGGATAGTCTGGTAAAAGACATAGATTACTCACTTTGTTTTTTTAGTTCCACGCGGATGGAGTCGCGGGAGAATGCTAGTTTATATTAGTAAGATATTTATTAAGCTGTATTCTTTCTGTATTCAGAGCGTCGGTGGCTCAGTGGTTTAAGCACTTGACTTGTAATATACAGGTCTTGGGTTCGAATCCCGCTGTACCAATGTGATTTTAGATTTTTCGAATTTTCATATGTATATAATTTACCCGACGTTCTTACGGTGAAGAAAAACATCGTATTGCCTGCACATATCGGCGAAGAAATTCAAAGATATGTGTGGAGTCAAGCAACCCGCAGTGCAGCGTGGTTGACTACAGCCTAGTCACTAGTCTTGGGCTTAATCGAACATCTGCAAGTTCGCACCGTACTAGTACAATTGGGAAAACGTACTAGTACACACTTTTAGTACCTTTAGTACTTCAGATTTGTGAAAACACTATACATGAATAGAATATAACGAGGGTTATATTCACATCAAATTTTAAGCAGGGTCAAACATATGTTTTTAGCGAAAATAAATTTAGTTATGAATAATTTTATCCACTTTTGATTCTCATTATCGAATGTGGATGCTTCAATCTGACAAAAAGGCGAACTCCGATATCACGTAGTGTGCTAAAAGTACTAAATGTCCGATTAACAGAAGCCGTTCGGTAACGTTACTTTTAGTACAGTGCCGAGTAACATTACTTTTTAGTACACCGTACGTGTACTACCCAAGACTACTAGTCACCCCTTATTAGGGTAGGCTCCGAGCCCCTCGGTGGGGACTTGCAGTGAGCTGGTGATGTATTCTTGTGTTATGTATTTATAACAGTGTTAACTCACGATCTGCCAGGCGGTGAGGCAAGGCGTGCACAGTAAGTGCCCGCACGGCTCTATCCGGATATCCTTGTCGTTCTCAGCACAGATCTTGCACAACTGGAATGTGCTGCCTGGAATCGTAATAAATATAAATAAATGGGTGTATGAATAATAAGCCAAAAAAAATAGGTACAATCGGGGAATCTGCCGGTGTGCTACTTTAAGTTAGTCGTTTGATAATTCTGTACAAATTGGTCAGTGCAAATCCAACTTTTTTGGCTGACTATAGTTTGTCTGAATAAGATAGATTACTTTGTTAGAAAAGATTCATGCTTGATTTTCACATCCCATCCCTACTAAATTGTCACATGAATCGACAAACTATAGAAGTGTGAATATAGCCAAAGAGGTTGCATACTGGCCACCAAGACAATTATGTGGTTGGTAAAAAAAATATAAAAAAACAAACATGAGAAGGAAAAGACGAACAAGAGGAAAATATGTGATCGCAATATAGTTTTGTTAAGGAGTTTTCAAGAAAAGTTTTTTTTGTACTTTTGGCTGCCGCGCTGTCGGTAACAAGTTAAACACCTATGAGACAACAACCAATAGAAGCGTTTAAATGTGTCTACAAAAAAGATTCCTCAATACACGGTAATTTTTATTATTATACCGTCGGTGGGCAACTCACTGCAACCTGATTGGTTATTTGAAAAAGGGGTGGAGTTCCATCTCTCATCATCGCGGATTTCCGTGACTGTACAAATATACATGTTATATTTACTGCTGTACTGAGTTTAAGCTTTAATGTAGATTTTTCATAATAAGGGTTTCCACTTCAAGTTTAACAATTAATGTGTATTTGCTCAGTAATGCGAAAGCAATGGGATTGAATATGTATGGCTACTAAAAATATATATACAGACGAATTTGGGTACGAAGTACCTCCTTCTTTTGGGAAAAATAGAGACCGAAATAAATGGATTGTGTGAGTATATAAGTGAGTGAATTCTATGACGACTGATAGAGATGTATAGAAGAGTATAAGTTACGAAAGTACATAGAGAAAAAGGCAAGGAGGAAGTTTGAGAGTAGCCCCCATAGTAGAGAAGGTTAGGAGTAAAAGGTTAGCATGGTGTGGGCATGTTATGAGGGATGAATCGCATGTTACAAGGAGAACGTTAGTTATGAGTGTGGAAGGGTACATCGGTAGAGGTAGACCTCGAAAGAGATGGATGGAT